TATTATTATGATACAGGGCACCTGGGTGGCTCAGTCAGTTGACCGTTGGGCTCTTGATTAGGGCTCAGGTCATGATCTCAGGGTCATGGGATTGAGCCCTGAGTTGGGCTCCAGGCTCAGCGTGGAGTCAGATTGTCCCTCTCCCTCTGCTCCTTGCCCCCCACCAATAAATAAACAAAAAATTTTTTAAATATATTAAGAGAAATCCTGAATAAACTCCTACATTAAATTTGTTTCAAATAGATGTATAAACAAAATATCTTGTATCTTATTTTTTCAACACTATTCTTTCTAGTGAAGAAAAACAAGTAATCCTGATCAAATGCTTGATCAACTCATTAATGAGCCATTTCTAAAGGAATTATTTCAATATAAAAATATAATTAAAATTCCTTTACCACTAAGAAATTTAAGGATTTATAAGAACATGTATTTTCTGATACTTACTTAACATGGCTTGCCTATTCTCTTGAAACATCTAAATGTTAAAAATAATTTCATCACATTTCATGGTCATTTATGTTTCTAACACAGAGTAACTCAAGAACAGCATTATCATAAAAGAGATCTTAGCAAAATTCTAATTCAATCTTTTTTTTGAAATAAGAACTTACGCATCTCATTAACATTACAATTCTGAATTCATTTTAAGAAGTGAATTTTAACAATTTCTCAGGGAGGCAAGCACATGAAAATGTGTTTGTTCATTGCTATTTTACCTTCATTTCTTTCTTCTCTGTTCTTCCTTCCCTTTTTTTTTTTTTTAATGGGAGTATCGTTGACACACGTTACATTTTCAGGTGAACAACATAGTGAATCAACATGTCTAATACCTTATGCTATGCTCACCACAAGCACAGCTACCATCTGTGTGTCAAGTAATTTTTTTAAAGATTTTATTTATTTTAGAGAGAGAGAGATCACAAGCAGGGGGAGTGGCAGAGGCAGAGGGAGAAGCTGGCTCCTGGATGAGCAGGGAGCCCGATGCGGGGCTCGATCCCAGGACCCTGAGTATTTTATACTCAGTTTGTAGGTGGGGAAACCTATAAGCAGTAAAACTTACAACCGTTAAAAATATTCATGAAGAGGGCGCCTGGGTGGCTCAGTTGGTTAAGCGACTGCCTTTGGCTCAGGTCATGATCCTGGAGTCCCGGGATCGAGTCCCGCATCGGACTCCCTGCTCAGCAGGGAGTCTGCTTCTCCCTCTGACCCTGCTCTCTCTCTCTCTCAAGTAAATAAATAAAATCTTTAAAAAAAAAATATTCACGAAGAAAAAGTAACTAAAGCTAGGCTAACAACTACATGTATTATCTCACTTAATGCTCATCCCAGCCCGAGGTAGGTGTTATTTTCTCCATCTACAAATGAGGAAACTGAGGCACTAAGTGGTTACGTAACTTGCCAAAGTCCTGCAGCTAGGATTCAGCAGAATCCAGACCAGGTTGCCTGATTTCAGAGCCTGCACTCTTAACCTCTACATATCCTACTACTTAAAAGTAATTTTCTTAAATATCCATGAGTCTGACATAAACAAATGATTGAATAAATTAAAAAATGGGGGGGGGAAGAGTACAGCTCTTTTTTACAGAGGAATTCCAAACAATAACTGCAGAAGAAATGAGAAAAATAATTACCATCAGGTAAACACCAATGGTTGCAGGCAAGACCCATCAATGGATTCCAGTTAAAATTAGTAGGTATAACAAGTACGATGAAGAAATAGGACATTTGCAGCACATCACGGAATCTCTCCCTGTGATATTTTTATTTATTTTTGCTTGGTATACATTTTTTCATTGAAGTATAATTAACATACAATGTTGCATTAGTTTCAGGTGTACAACATATTGATTCAACAATTCTATACATTCCTCAACCCTCATAACGGTAAGAATCACCACTCAACCCTCATAACGGTAAGAATCACCGTCGGTCACCATATAACATTATTACGATCCTGTTGACTACATTCTTTATGCTATACTTTTCATCTCCGTGACTTGTTTATTTTATAACTGGAAGTTTTCACCTCTTAATCCCCTTTATCTATTCTCATATATTAATTACAAGGAGAAAAATAATTTTACAGTGGAGAAACCCGCAGACACCACCTAACCAAGTGATCAAAGTTAGTATCACCATCAGAAAGATGAAACCACCCAAACTACTGAATGTGCAGACAGAACCCTTCATGCAAATACTTTTTACTTAATGGTTTAAAGCAATTCATTATTTTTGCTACCAGAAAGTTCAGTATTAAACCACCAACTGTGACAAAAGTTTAACAAACTGTTTGATTTGAGGTTGGGTAATCACTAAGTCTCTGAAGGAACTTGAAGCATATTTTTCCTAAGTTTTACCTCTGTGAAAAATGTATGGTTTACAAATTATGAAGGAGCAGCCCAATTCTTCCCATCGACACTTCTATTATTATATAGTAATGCAAGATAAACATATTATAGAAATATTCAGAAACTGTACAGATTCTGAAATTGATTATATTTTAAGATTTTCTTGTCAAAGAGGAATAAAATGTCGTATGTAAAAAATAAGCTAAAAGATATATCTACCTTTTGATTTTTTAAAAAAGATTTTATTTATTTATTTGCCGGAGAGAAAGAGCATGCTCAAGCAGGGCGAGCGGCAGACAGAGGGAGAAGCAGGCTCCCCGCTGAGCGAGGAGCTGGACATGGGACTTGATTCCAGGACTCCGAGATCATGACCTGAGCCGAAGGCAGATGCTTAACCGACTGAGCCACCCAGATTTCCGTACCTTTTGATTTTAAATAATTAAAGCGGAGGGGCACCAGGGTGGCTCAGTTGGTTCAAGCGTGGGCCTTTGGCTCAGGTCATGATCCTAGGGTCCTGAGAGAGAGCCCCTGAGGTGGGATCCCTGCTCAGCTGGGAGCCTGCTTCTCCCTCCCCCACTCCTAGCCCACTTGTGCTCTCTCTCACTCAAATAAATAAAATCTTTAAAAATAAACAAATAAGGTTGCTATTTACTGAGCACTTAGTATGTGCCAGGCACATTTTTTCTGCACAATATTTCATTTAATTCTCACAACAGGCTTACAAACTTTAGGACTATCACAGCATTCTTTAAATTATAACTATTTTGTACACAATGTTTACATTCTGCATCTTATCAACGTACAAAATATCACTGCCACTGACATCAATGGAACTTCATGGGCAATGGAATGAATTACTAAGCCTTGTCAAAATAGACATTTTCCTTTTCCTCTAAAATGTTATAATTGTCCAACTATAAATAAAAGTATTATTTACATATTGATTACTGTCTAAAAAAACCCAAATTTCATAGAAAAGACTTTCCTTGTTTTTTCTAAAGAATGCATAAAGTGGAAAACAATCTTATACTGAGGTCTAAATTATAGGTAAAAGATAACAACCAAGTGTCACAGGAGAGTGGAGGTGAATTTTCAAATATTGATAACTTACAGGATTTGCAGGTATTTCACTGGTTCGTTGTTTTCTATATTTTAAACTAATGTATTTTAAATATATTAATATATTTTAAATTTTAAGTAACATTTTAATAATAGAATTTTATATACATTAGATTTTTCTCATGTGTACCCATTTAAAGTTCACATTTTCATTTTAATATAACTTTTCTTTCAAAACATAATTCAAAAATTGATAAAAAGCCCAATGGGAAGTTTTATTTACAAGGTAGAAAGTTGAAAAGAAAATAAACACATTCCTCACAATTTCAGAGGTGACAAAAATCTACGGTATTTCAAGTGGCTTCTGAGCTCCCTTAAAGGATCTGATAATTGTATATAAAGTTTTATAAAGTAATCTTAATAGCCAGATTAATGTTAACGTGCTCTGGGTCTAGTTTTAATTGTGTACTTCTTAAAATATAACGAAGGAATGATTTGGTAATTTTGAACCTATTGATTAAAGTGACCCCAACAAACACTGGTCACTATTTTAGTGGAAGTATTTCCAAGCAATTATAGTTGCTGATTTCTTGCAGCTGTTTCTTATTATCTTCCTGATTTTTCAATTCCCTAACGTAAAGGTGTGGGAAAACTAACATTTCCCCTCCTTTTCGAGAAATGGCATAAAGGAGAGAAGACCTTCGGGGTATTAAACACAAATGCAGACATTTAGAAGTTGATGGTTTTAAGACTCATTTTCTGGCTAAATTTTTGTTGTTTCTTAAATCAAAATTTGTGAGTTTTCCCTTAAAATCCCCACGCTGTTTTGCTTTAGCCCCACCGGATATGTGCCCCCTACCCATTTCTGACTAAACTGGGCTCCTGCCCAAAGTTTCAGCGCCGCGGGTCCCTCGTAACCGCTCAGCGGGAGCCCGCGGAGTCCAGTCGCCCGGGGCGTCAAACCCGGGGTCCCTCACGCGCCCTGCGAGTCCCCGCTGCCGACTCAGCTCCCCGCCCTCCCGGGGAGCGGATCTGAGGCCGCTCCCAAAACATCCCTCAGGGGCACTCAGAAAACCAATTCGGGCCTCACTTTGCAGGAGTACTGTCCTCGCCTTGTCAATGACACGATGAAGCGGGGGAGGACGAATCTCGGCCATTTCTTAGCAAATACCTTCCCGAGCGGCCGGGAGCCATCACGCCAGCTCTCTTCCCTTAATCCTTCACTTGCCACCCAAGAAAGTGTTAATGGCAATAGTGACCACGGCTACACTCTGCGGTTCTTGCCTCCAAGCCAGCCTTATGCCAAGTTCCTCCACGCGGCGAGAGGCTACTCTCTCCCCTAGCCAGCAGGAGAGGCTTTCGGGGGCAGCCGGGGCACCCCGGACCCACGGCCCGCCGGGGTCTGAGTCCAGGCCTCAAACACCTCCCGACTGGAGGTGGGTAGAGAATCACTTCCGACCGTTGCGACCCGGTCGGGGGGGGTGGTCTCAGCCAGACTTTTCCATTCAGCCGGGAGGCTCGGTCGCCCGCTCCGCGCAGCGGAACTACAACTCCCAGCACCGTAGGAGCTGCCCGGACTTCCGGAAGCCAAAGCCCGGCGGGGAGGAAGCCGCTGAGACCCGGCCCAAAGGCCGGGGGTTAATTTAGCAAGAAAAAAGGGGGCGGGAAGGGCTGTAGGGTTAACTTGTCAATTCGCCACCATGAACGTGGTTTTTGCTGTGAAACAGTACGTTTCCAAAATGATAGAGGACAGCGGACCGGGTATGAAAGTACTCCTCATGGATAAAGAGACGGTGAGTTTGCTTTTGCTCGGTATTTGTTTGTGAGGGAATTCTTCCTCCCTTATAATAGCTACTCCCAGTCCGCTGTAAGATTTAGTATTTAAGATTTTGAAGCGAGGGTCAGTTCTGTGTGGAACTGAGAGGTGGTATAAAGCTTGTCTAGCAGGTTTTCAGTGCAAATGGCTCTAACTACCACCAGAGCTTTCTTCTACCCGGAACAATTTATTGGAATCAGAAGTCCTTTTCTAAACGCCTTTGCCAAGAAATAATATGTGAGACAGAACATTTGGAAGACTTTTATTTCCAGTCACCGTTGTGTTTTTAAAATAAAGCTGTTAGTGCTCAAGCTGAGATGACGGATTATTATTTGTTGGTCACAGAATTATTTAAAAAAAAACACAAGGTGATGGAAAAAAATTCTTTTTGAAATTTATGGATTGTCTGTGTTCAGAGAGAACATGTTTTTCATCCTGGTACATTACCTACATGTTCTGGTTGCTCAGTAAATGTTACATATGTTAATGTTTACGTTATCCAGCTAAGTATTAATGAAAAAAATTTAAGTCTTAGTTGTTGCTGCTTGTTTATATTATTTTTGACTAGCATAATATTATTTAAATCTTTTTTTTTTACAGACTGGCATAGTGAGTATGGTATACACACAATCAGAGATTCTTCAGAAGGAAGTGTACCTTTTTGAACGCATTGATTCTCAAAATCGAGAGATCATGAAACACCTGAAAGCAATTTGTTTTCTTCGTCCTACAAAGGTACGTACTGAGTTGTCATTTGCCCAGGCAAATACAGAACACTCTGATATGAAAGCATTAAGAAAGCAAAATAAATTTGTATTATCATTTATGGCATCATAATTAACCTGGTTCATCAGAGTTATAACCTTGATTCTCCTGCTTTCCACATCTCAGTTTACTCCTTACAGTTTTTCCTCCAAGATGCCTTTTAGGTTCCCAGCTACTTCCCAAACCACTAACTATCCTAGCAGAGACCCACATCACTTAATTCCTGGATTAACATCCGTACCTATCACACTGAACACCATTGCTGCTTAATCTTATATACTTATGCATGTACACCAATATCTTGAGTCTGTATCATTTTATTCATATCTATGCGCAAGAACATATAATGGCTCAATTTTACTTCCATGATTAAATCAATCTTTAGTAGCCCAGTCCTTAAATCCCTCCTTTAACTGGTTTGGTCTGCCCTTATGTATCCAGCCTCCTATGTCCAATCTCTCCTTCTCCACTATTGCCAACTGTGCCTTTTTATCATCCCTCTACATGCTCATTCCTCTTCTCTATTCATTCTCTTCCCCTAATTAAAGGTTCTTTAGCCTTCTGTCCATTTTCATCCATCATTTTCTAAATCTAGCTTGAGTCCTCCTATAAAACTCCTATACTATTTCAGCCTTATTTTGTATATTCTCTTTATATTCATGATCTTCAACTCCAATGCACTCTTTTATCATGCTTGTATATTATGTATTTTCTAAAATACAAATCTGATCATGTCACCTCCACTTGAAATCCTTGAATGACTTCTCATTGTTTTTATGCTAAAGGCAAAACTCCTTAATTGTGGTTCTGTGTGGTCTAGTTCCTGTCATTCCTATGGCCTTCTTTTTAATAATTTTTTATTGTTATGTTAATCACCATACATTACATCATTAGTTTTTGATGTAGTGTTCCATGATTCATTGTTTGTTCTATGGCCTTATTTCAAACCATTCCCCCTTTTGCTCTTAGCCACATTAATCTTTCAGTTCACTTTGTTCCATCATGCCACAGGACCTTTGCACAGGCACTTCCCTCTGCTTGGAACTTCTTTACTTCCTCCTGCAAATCTTCCCTGGTTTTGCTGTCCAAGTCAAACCCCCCTCTTATAAGCACTTACAGCACCACCTTCTTCTACCTTTTGCTTGTTGTAGTTGAAGTTTTATATGGTTTGATTAATATCTGTCTCAACTACCAGCAGTAAGCTCCATGAAAGTAGAGATGGTATCTGTTTTTTCACACTATTATGTCTCCAGTGCCTGCTACGTGGTGGACCTCAATAAATAGTTCCTGAATTAATGAATACATTAATACTGTGTTATAGTCATTTCCAGTTTTTCACATTTGTAGCTCATGAAAGTTTGGTGCTGAGAGGGATCTTGGAGATCATCTAGTCCATCGTTTCCTAATAATTTTCATTAGAGAAATTAGAGAACCTCTTTATATATATATATATATATATATATATATAATGTGTTATTAAAATAGATTTTTCTTGGGGCTCCTGGGTGGCTCAGCCATTCAGCGTCTGCCTTCGGCTCAGGTCATGATCCCAGGGTCCTGGGATTGAACCCTGCATCGGGCTCCCTGCTCAGCAGGAAGCCTCCTTCTCCCTCTCACACTCCCCTTGCTTGTGTTCCCTCTCTTGCTGTCTCTCTCGCTGTCAAATAAATAAATAAATAAATCTTTAAAAAAATGGTTTTTCTTTAAGATTATGTTGTAAAGTTAATATATTTTTTAATCTAAATGACAATTTTAAAAACTTTTTTCCCATTTAACAAGTAATATGCATTGCTTATATTATTTTTAGTTCTTTAAGGAAATGTATGTTTTTTTAAATGTTCAAAACTGTATTTCATATCATGTTTACACTGGGGACCAAATTCATATTGAAATTTAACTATGTGTTAATAGTATCAAAAATAGATAAAACCTGCATTATGATCTTATGTAATTGAAATTCTTATGTTTTGTCCATATAAAAATCAACTTTTTTTACTTCTAAATTTCATATTTCATTTTTATTTTTTTAAGATTTATTGAGAGAGAAAGTGTGAGTGGGGGGAGGGGCAAAGGGAGAGGAAGAAAGAGAATCCTAAGCACACTCCCCACTGAGTGTGGAACCTGACCCTGGGCTTGATCCCATGACCCATGAGATCGTGACCTGAGCCAGATGCTTAACTGAGTGAGCCACCCAGGCGCCCCCATATTTTGTTTTTAAATAATGTAATTATATGAAAGGTCTTAGCCTGCTGTTTGCAAATACTTTACAAGCATTACAGTTGTGCAGTCTTAGGTACCAATAAATTAAAAGCCAAAGTGAATACAATTAAGTGTATTTTTTCTTGAATGTTGGTTTTTAAAGAACTAGATACATTTTGATATTCTATCTAAGAATTTTGATTAGATGAATAATTTATAGATAAGGAGCTTGAGGCAAATTTGCAGAATTATTATCAGTTTTATGTTGTACTTCAACATTTGTATTTTTAATATTTTTAAATCTTAATTTGGCCAAGGTAATGCAGCTCATTAATATTATAGATGATTCCTGATCATTATATTTAACGTATCTCTTTTTCACCTCCAGCCCTCATCCCCACAACATACACTTAAATCTAGACCTCAGCACTCAGTGGACTCTCAGTAAATACTTAGATAAATCAATTAACGGTATTTATTATTTTTTCACTTAAACAATTCTCACGTATTATTTGTTTGTTGTTTCCTTTCTAGGAGAATGTGGATTATCTGATTCAGGAGCTCCGGAGACCAAAATACAGTATATATTTTATTTGTAAGTATATTATTTCACTTATTCCATCATGTAACTGTATCCTAGCTAGTTTGTTCTTTTTTTTTTTTTTTTGAAGATTTTATTTATTTATTTGACAGAGAGAGACACAGCAAGAGAGGGAGCACAAGCAGGAGAAGTGGAGCAGGGAGCCTGATGCGGGGCTTGATCCCAGGACCCTGGGACCATGACCTGAACCGAAGGCAGACGCTTAACAACTGAGCCACCCAGGTGCCCCTAGCTAGTTTGTTCTCTTGGACACTTCATATCATCAATAAGTTAACTGAATCAGTCACTATACGAGTCTGATTTTTTTATGTCCTTTCAAAGTATTAAAAGTCTTATGATCAGGGGCGCCTGGGTGGCTCAGTCGTTAAGCGTCTGCCTTCAGCTTGGTCCCAGGGTCCTGGGATTGAGCCCCGCATCGGGCTCCCTGCTCTGTGGGAAGCCTGCTTCTGCTTCTGCCTCTCCCACTCCCCCTGTTTGTGTTCCCTCTCTCGCTGTGTCTCTCTCTGTCAAATAAATAAATAAATAAATCTTAAAAAAAAAAAAAGTCTTATGACCAAGCAATGTTCTATTTTAGAGAACTAAGTGGGGTTTTCTATATCATTGATGGATTAGGTAAAAATTACTTTTTAAGTTTACTTTGCCTGTCAAGATTCTTTATAAGTCAAAAATATACAAGTAGCCAAATTTCACATCCCACCTGTGCAAAACAAAAGGTGTATACTTGGGCGCCTGGGTGGCTCAGATGGTTAAGCGTCTGCCTTCGACTCAGGTCACGATCCCAGGGTCCTGGGATCGAGTCCCACATCAGGTTCCCTGCTCCTTGGGAGCCTGCTTCTCCCTCTGCCTCTCTCTCTCTGTCTCTCATGAATAAATAAATAAAATCTTTAAAAAAAAAAAAAAAGGTGTATACTTATTCCTATTTTATACTTTTATGAACTGAAGCATGGAAGCTGATTTCTTTACTTGGAGGAGGATATGCTTGAGTTTGTGGGAAAAGCAGAGATTTACTTTACATACCAGAGGAAAACATTCCATTTCTCTTTGCTACTTTATGTAATGCTTGAAAGTACAAGTCATCCAGTAGGTATCTCTTATGTACATAACTTTTTTGGGGGATGGGGGAGGGCAGAGTTCTGGAAATAAACTAGGTTTGTGGTTACTATACATTTTATATGGCTTTTTTTTTTAAAGATTTTATTTATTTATTAGAGAGAGAGAAACAGCATGAGAGGGGAGAAGGTCAGAAGGAGAAACAGCCTCCCCGGTTTTTGATGTAATACATTCTGCTTTGGAAGTTACATCCATTCTCCTCTAGATGTCATTATTGATCTTTATGGGATTAGTAAGTCTAGTTTATTTGGTGCCATTTCCAAAACCAAGGACAAACCTTAACTCTCAGTATGTAGGGCATTTATGAAATTTTAAAGCTTACTTTGAAGGCTTTGGAGTTTTAGGGTTTAGATTATACTCCAAGATATGCATACTTTCTACACTATATGCTACAATTAAATAATGGTACCAAAAATTAACATTTGTGATAAGGTATTTTATAAAGAACTTTCTCATATATTATTTCATTTAGCCCTTACAACAACCTCAAGAGGTAAAAATTGGCAATTTTATTTATTTTGTTTGGGTTTTTTTCCTTTTGGCTATAGTCACAGGCTTTCTTTTATAATTTAACTTTTTATTTTGAGACAATTGTAGATTCACATATACTTGTAAGAAATAATACAGAGATGGGGCGCCTGGGTGGCTCAGATGGTTGGGTGTCTGCCTTCAGCTCAGGTCATCATCCTAGGGTCCTGGGATCGAGCCCCGCATTGGGCTCCCTGCTCAGTGGGGAACCTGCTTCTCCCTCTCCCTCTGCCTGCTTCTTCCCCTGCTTGGACATTCTCTCTTTCTGTCAAAAATAAATAAAATCTTTTAAAAAAAAAAAAAAAAGAAAAAATACAGAGATCCCATTTATTCTTAAACCCATTTCCCCCAGTGTAGCATCTCACATAACTAATACCACATCCAGTATATTGACACTGATACAGTTAGGATACAAAACATTTTCATCTCCATAAGGATCTCACATATTGCCCTTTTATACCAGATCCACTTCCCTCCCACCCAACCCCCTTATTAACCTCTGGCAACCACTAATCTGTCCTCTATTTCTATAATTTTGTCATTTCAAGAATGTTACATAAACGGAATTATACAGTATATAACCCATTGGGATTGGCTTTTTTCACTCAGCATTCTTTAGAGATTCATCCAGGTTGTGGCATGTATCAGCAGTTCATTCCTTTTTATTACTGAGTAGTATTCCATGTTATGGATATACCACAATTTGTTTAACTACCCATTGGAGGATATCTGAGTTATTTTCAGTTTTGGCCACTACAAATAAAGCTGTTATAAACATTTGTGTGTAAGTTTTCGTGTGAACATGAGCCTTTATTTCTCTGTAGTAAATAATGTCCAGGAGAGCAATTGCTGGGTCATATGGTAGTTCCATGTTTAGTGTTTCAAGAAACTGCTAAATGTTTTCTAGAGTGACCATACCATTTTACTTTCCACTAGCATTGTACAGGTGATCCAGTTTCTTTGTATCCTTATGAGAATTTGGTGTTGCCCTTATTTTTTGTTTTAGCCATTCTGATAAGTGTGTAGTCATTACAGTACTTTTAGTCTGATCACAAGTTAGGTACTTAGGAAAGTGTAGAAACTTTTACTTAGTGACATACGTATGTGTGTGTAGGAATATATGAGAGATTCCCTGTGCTGTCGAATTTAAGTAGACATATAATGGAATCACTTCTTATGCTGAGTCTCTCATTTAAAAATTGAGTAGGTCATGAGATGAAAGACTCCTTTTTCCTCTAAAGAGAGTTCTTTGAGGCAGCAGTTGAGATTAGTAACCAATAATCTAATGTCTATTCTTCTGGTTCTAAAGGTTGTTTGATTTGCACTGTGATTCTATGAAGTAGAAGAAAAAAATGATATATATTAAAGTAGCACTAAAGCCTAGGAAAAATAGACTCTTGGAACTCGGGTAAAGCAATCAATTTCACAATTTTGTTTGATTAAAATAAACTAAATGAGTTTGTATGTAGTGATTTTATCCATTACAAATTTTCAGCACAATTTATATCAACACTAAACACTCCTTCTGCTCATCTCATTTTTTATAATTTTATTTTTGTATTTTTATGTCTACTAAATATATTGTATAATAGGCTCCAAAAACCTCTGTTATGGAAGTTTTCAAATATATACAAATAGTATCATAAATCCCAGTGTACCCATCACCCAGTTGCAAAGGTTACTTTGCCATGGCCTATCTTGTTTTAGCTATACTGCCACCCACTCCCCCACCAGTGTTATTTTGAAGGAGATCTAAGGCGTCATATGAATTCAGCCCTAAATATTTAAGTGTGCATCTCTAAAAGATAAGGACACATTTTATAGAATAACCATTATTATAAAAAATAAAATACCATTATTATACATATCCAAATAATGAAAAATAATTCCTGTTTTCAAATACTCAGTGTTCAAATTTCAAATTCTCTTATGGTTTTGTTTTGTTTTTTTTTTTCTCACTGTTTTTGTATTTGAATAATGATCATAATAAGATCCACACAAGCTGCTGATTGATATGTTGTTTAAGTTCCTTTAATCTTCTGTAGGTGTTTTCTCTCTCTCTCTCTCTCAATCTCTCTCTCTCTCCAGTGCAATTTATTTATTGAAGAACTATATCGTTTTGTTAAAATTTCTCAGTCTGCATCTTGATGATTGCATCCCGATAGGGTAGTTTAACATATTCTTTGTAGTTTAAAATTTCCTGGGGCTCCTTGGTGGTGCAATCAGTTAAGCATTGACTCTTGGTTTTACTTGCTTTTTCTTTATATTTTTACCACCTAAACATGGGCCCTAAAAACATTTAGGGGTTTTTGGTTGTTGGTTTTTTAAGATTTTATTTATTTATTTGAGAGAGAGCGAACGCACAAGCAGGGGGAGCGGCAGGGAGAGGGAGAAGCACGCTCCCCGCTGAGCAGGGAGCCCAATACGGGCCTCCATCCCAGGCCCCTGGGATCATGACCTAAGCCAAAGGCAGACACTTAACTGACTCAGCCACCCAGGTGACCCACTAAAAATTTGTTCTTAAAAATTATTTTTCTTGGGGCGCCTGGGTGGCTCAGCCGTTAAGCATCTGACTTCGGCTCAGGTCATGATCTCAGGATCATGGGATCAAGCCCCCCCACCCCCGTCAGGCTCTGTGCTCAGTGTGGAGTCTGCTTGAGATTCTCTCAGCCTCTCCCTGTGCCTCAGCCCACATTAGTGGTTGATAAAAATGATGATGTTTTAATTCTATCATGATCATTCCTTCTTTGTTTTTTAGCTGGAATATTTCCATAAAGAGAAATTTCTTCTCATCTATTTGGTTATCTGTGGTACAGTTTGTATATAGAAGAATAAAAACTCACTTCTTTCCCTTTACTTGCTATTTTGAGCATAATGACTTGGTTCCCTGGCATCCTCCAATGCCTACATGGTGAACTTTTTTTTAAGTATTATTATGAATTTATGGATTTAAATATATTTGTACTACTCATTTCAGCTTGAAGGTGTTTGACTTTGACATATACCGCAGTGTATACCAAACTTCGCTTAGTCATTAGGCTCTTTTATGTCTAATTGCAGCAAAAGTGATCTCCTTTGAGTCAACCACAACTCATAATGTCTGTTTCAGATTTCAGTAATGTGATCAGCAAGAGTGATGTGAAGTCATTAGCTGAAGCTGATGAACAGGAAGTTGTGGCTGAGGTTCAGGTAAACATATTGGTCCTCTAACACATCTCCTATATTGGCCTGTTTTAAAGATTTGAGTCTAACAATAAGAAAGGTACTATCTCAAAAGAAGGGAGGCTATTGATCAGACATTATAAATGTGCATTCCACCAAACTATCCATACTCATACTTAAAAAGTTTGTAAGAGGTATCAAATTGGGTGGGAACAGAATTAAAGGAGTCAGTGGGAATAAGGAGATTGGACTGGTACTGGATCCTACTGAATGGGTAGGGAGGGTTTCACAGGGTTGGGAACAGAGTCAGATATATTCTATGCTAGTTTTATGAACCACATTGTAAGAATGTTCATCTACAGGGCTATGTGTGACTGGAAAAGAACAGGAAGTAAAGGATGTGAATGAGGTTTGTTAAAGTTCTGTTTGTGATTATCTTGCTCTGGGAGGTAAAAAGTAGACTTTTTTCGTTAGGTTAAAACTTGATAACTCCTGAATATTCTGCATGCTATATAATACATCACATCAGAACATGTCATGTTACCTTTTACTTCTTAAACGCCTAAGTGTTCTTGAATACATTTATCACAAATGTCTGAATACATTTATCACCTAAGTGAAGAATGGGGCAGCAAATTAACAAGTTTTGGATTTTCAGAAGGATGTGCTAGGTGATAAATGAATAATAATAAAAAAAATGACCTATTTTATTTTATTTATTTATTTTTAAAGATTTTATTCATTTATTTGACAGAGAGAGAGATAGCGAGAGCAGGAACACAAGCAGGGGGAGTGGGAGAGGGAGAAGCAGGCTCCCCGCAGAGCAGGGAGCCCGATGTGGGACTCGATCCCAGGACCCTGGGATCATGACCTAAGCCGAAGGCAGATGCCCAACAACTGAGCCACCCAGGCGCCCAAAAGATGACCTATTTTAAATTATATTCTCCCTCACGAGAATACACTGGACAAAAAAAAAAAAAAGAATACACTGGACAGCAAAGTTCTTTTTCATCTGTGTGTAACATTGTATATCCTATAGCAGTGTCTTATTTTTACTAATGGATAAGTGTACACAGAGGTCTCCAGAAATGTAATATACATACTTCTACATCTTTTTGTTTTTTAAACAATCTGTTATTATTATTGCTGCTTTATAATTTATTCCTCCACATTGACTATTGCTACTCAATTAATTGATCAATTTTTGTATCTCTTTTACACCCGCATTTCCTCAAATTTGATTATATCACATAGTATTATATCACATATGAAAATATTACTATATGATACAGTTGGAATTTATGAAATGACTGACTTATCTTGGTGCTTTGATTGCAGGAATTTTATGGTGATTATATTGCTGTGAATCCACATTTGTTTTCCCTCAATATTTTGGGTTGCTGCCAGGTATGGAAGGAAAGGATAAAAAAATAAGTTTATCAGGTGGGAGTTAATTCAGCAAGTAATGGGACTTGTAAGAAAAAATTCACATATTTTCTCTGAATATACATTTTTAACAAAAAGGGTCGAAATTGGGGTCCAGCCCAGCTATCCAGAACAACTCAAGGACTGACAGCTCTCCTTTTATCTCTGAAGAAATGTCCCATGATTCGCTACCAGCTTTCATCAGAAGCAGCAAAAAGACTTGCAGAATGTGTTAAGGTATGGCTTTCCCTCTCCCCAGTTCCAAAGCATCAAGACCATCCATTTCCTTACATATTTCAGAAACTATAGCAATATTTTTTCTATAACCAAGGAGGTGATGTGTTAGATTTACTGGCAAAGAGGTAGATCTTTGTAATAAAAAATCAAAAGCAACAAATTAGGGCTAAAATTTTTAGGCTTAACTCAAGAAACATTTGCAAGCTAAATAAGTTAAATACTTATTTTGATCCAATTAAGCCATTTGTAAAATAGAGTTTTAAATCCTAACCTCTTAAACAGGATGCTACCAAACTTTGTCAAGCCTTTAATCCTTTTCAGAAGGCTTATGAAGGTGCAAAGAATTGTTGTTAAATGTGTTTTTTATGTATTAATTTTCTGTTTATGTCATCTCTGTCTGCAACTAATTGGTTGACCAAACCATCTTTCTCTCATATCCACAGCAGGTAATAACTAAAGAATATGAACTGTTTGAATTCCGGCGGACTGAGGTGCCTCCATTGCTGCTTATTTTAGATCGTTGCGATGATGCCATCACCCCGTTACTAAACCAGGTGCAGAACCCTTTATTAGCATAATAGAAGCATGATTTCAAGTGGTATTCATCAAAATGCCGATGTGGAAATGAACAGTGTGGTCCATGTATTTGCCTCCTTATTTTCAGCTTGTTTTTTTTGTTTCTGTTTTTGTTTTTTTGCCTTGTAGTTCCTGGTGTTTTGGTATCTCTATTCTTCCAGCCAGTCTTCCTTTGGCTCTTTCTTCTGTCTCATCTTTCCTGTTCCCTTCTGCCGCCACCTTCACCCGATCAAGGCAACTTCTAGGTTCTGTAGCTTCTCCTTTTCTAGTATCTATTTGCAATTTTCCATTCTTACTGCCATTACCTTTGTGTAGACCCTAATCTCTTATAGGAATACTGAAATAGTCATCTGCCAATTCCTCACTTTCATTTTTTATTTCATTTTTTTTATAAGAGATCAAATCTACACTTTTATGGGGTGCCTGGGTGGCTCAGTTGTTAAGCGTCTGCCTTCGGCTCAGGTCATGATCCCAGGGTCCTGGGATCGAGCCCTGCATCGGTCTCCCTGCTCTGCAGGAAGCCTGCTTCTCCGCTCCCACTCCCCCTGCTTGTGTTCCCTCTCTCTCTGTCAAAAAATAAATTTAAAAAAAAAATCTACAGGGCGCCTGGGTGGCTCAGTTGGTTAAGCGACTGCCTTTGGCTCAGGTCATGATCCTGGAGTCCCGGGATCGAGTCCCGCGTCGGGCTCCCTGCTCAGCGGGGAGTCTGCTTCTCCCTCTGACCCTCCCCCCCTCATGCTCTCTCTCATTCTCTCTCTCAAATAAATAAATAAATAAAATCTTTAAAAAAAAAAATCTACACTTTTATTTATTTACTTTTCAATAAGTTTAAATCCTTGAGGGTACATGGCTTCTGTGTTCAGAGGCCTTAGCAGGAAGGTTTCTTCAGAATTTGCATGAGTCATGCCACTGTTTCTATGAGTATGAGTTACCTTCTCCAGATTACTCTGGTTTTGTTCAGTTTGCCACCAGGAGTCACTGTGTTATTCCTTGCTTTGTACACATGAGCACATCTCTTGCCTAGATAGAACTTAGTTTCATCTTGAGCATGAACACCTTCAATTTTAAGAAGAGCTGTGTGCTCCCTCTGGTTCTGGAGATCCTGCTTTTAGCCAGCAAAACATGGCCTTGAACCACAGCCTTCCAGGCATATTTATCATTTTATTTATTTATTTTTTAAGATTTTATTTATTTATTTGAGAGAGAGAGAATGAGAGACAGAGAGCACGAGAGGGAAGAGGGTCAGAGGGAGAAGCAGACTCCCTGCTGAGCAGGGAGCCCGATGCGGGACTCGATCCGGGGACTCCAGGATCATGACCTGAGCCGAAGGCAGTCGCTTAACCAACTGAGCCACCCAGGCGCCCCATATTTATCATTTTAGGAGTCCTGTTCCCAGCAGGCCTCCACAGGCTCCAAGATGGCTGAAACACAAAGGCCTTGATTCCCCTCTTTTAATTTCTTTCTACTCTGATGTATCTCATAGACACAATGTTGTTAAATCACTTTTCCTAAAGCACAGTTCTGATCTTACTACTCCTGACTTAAAAATCTTTATTGGGGGGCGCCTGGGTGGCTCAGTCATTGGGCATCTGCCTTAGGCTCAGGTCATGATCCCAGGGTCCTGGGATCAAGCCCCACATCGGACTCCCTGCTTGGCGGGAGGCCTGCTTCTCCCTCTCCCACTCCCCCTGCTTGTGTTCCCTCTCCCTTTGTGTCTCTCTCTGTCAATACAGTCTTTAAAAAAAAAGAACAGTACTTTACACAAAGTAGAGGCTTTATTAATAGTGACTTTGAATTTGTAGGGGAAGACATAGTTTATATTTCAGTTTCTTCCCAGCTTATAATCATGTTAATGCTAGGAGAAATCTGTGGAGTGCAGCTTCTCTATAATAGGATAGCCTTATATTCCTAAAATACAAAGTAATATCTATTCACTAAAGAAGTTTTGATAATATAAAAAAGTAGAAAGAAAAATGATTGCCTGTAATTCTGTTACCCAGAGAAAAACAACCATTCATTCAACTAATTTCATTAAAGACCTATTATGTGCCTGCCAGGTATTGTGTTAAGTATCGGTGGGTGGCTCAGTCGGTTCAGCGTCCGACTCGTGATCTCAGCTCAGGTCTTGATCTCAGGGTCATGAGTTCAAGCCCTGTGTTGGGCTACACGTTGGGTATGCAGCCTACTTAAAAAAAAAAAAAGTATTAGAGGTAAAAGGCTAAAAGATGCAGTCTCTGCTCTCAAAGAGTTCATGATCCAATGGGGAGAGAAGTAAACTGATCATTTTAATTATAGAGTAAGTACTAATGGTAGAAGCATGCACAGGATGCTGTCTATGGAAGCATAAATATTTTGTTATACTTATTTTACATGTCCCCACGAAACTTGCTTTTTTTTTTTTAAGATTTTATTTATTTATTTGAGAAAGAGAGGGAGGGGGAGGGCTCAAGACAGAGAATCTCAAGCGGGACACCTTGCTGAGCACAGCCCGACTCTGGGCTTGATCTCACAACTCATGAGATCATGAACTAAGCCAAAACCAAGAATCAGACAACCAAATGAGCCACCCAGGTGCCCCTGAAACTTGCTTTTTTAAAGATTCATTTGGCAAGTATTTTAGGAAATGAAGCACCTTCTTTTATAACCTTAAGTTCTTTCTTAATAAATCTAGATTGCTTAAGATGAAGTAAAAGTATATAAATATTTCTAGCATTTAGTTTCTAGATTTAGAAAATAGTATGCTAGAAAATACTTAGTTTTGTATATTGGACCTATGACTAGAAGGAACCCATTCTCCATAAATGGTGAGAAGGCAAAATTTGGGGTTTCTCCATTCCATTTTCGCCAAATAAGTTCACATTTTGAAGCATAGAAACCAGTCCTTCTTCACAATTCATATTAAGTAAAAATATGAAATAAAATGGATTCAGAGGCAAAGCTTCTGAATATGTGTGTTTTGATCAACTCACAAGGTCTGTTTCTGATAATATTAGTGTTCCCAGGATAAATATAGCACCACTCAGATCTGTAAGAACACACTTCTCATGCTGCAGAAAACCACAGAAGCGTACAGGAAATGGTACAGCTTGTAACTGCAGTACCAGTATAGCCCTATCTGTGAAGCCAAAAATATACTCTGAATTCACAGGCAAAAACCGTAGCTAATGATAGACCTAATTTGTTTTCTTTCTATCAGGAATATTAATCTTGCTACCCTTCTTCCAAAAGTGTAAAATCTAAAAGTATTTTGACTTTTAGTTTAACCAATTACGAGTCTTAATGCTGAGTAGAACACAAAATATTAATAAAACTTGAACTAAATAAAGAACCTCTATGTAAAGAAGACTAGTTGCTAAGAATGTTACCAGTTTTTGTTTTCCTCAACATTTACTATTTCCATGTTTTATCAGTTACCAATTTTTTTTGTCATAATTCTTCATTTAGTGGACATATCAGGCCATGGTCCATGAACTACTGGGCATAAACAACAATCGGATTGATCTTTCCAGAGTGCCGGGGATCAGTAAAGACTTAAGAGAGGTGGTCCTATCTGCTGAAAACGATGAATTCTATGCTAACGTAGGTGGTTAAAATTTTTTAAAATTGTTTTTAGTTGTTTTTATGTAAGAAGGCCAGTATTGACTTGTTCGAATGAAAATAGTTATGGGATTTCATGTGAAAGGATGATAGAGCATCCTGTAGATAAACTGCATCTCAAGAGAAGGCAGAAGATTTGGATTCTGACCCTTTAACAGTTTTTTTTTTTCCATAGAAATCACATATTTAGCTTTGTACTTTTAAAATTAGAACCCAATTTATTTACTTCCTTCCCTTCTGTAGCCCTTTGTGAGAATAGTAATGGTATTCATCACCAGTGTCCTGGCCAATGTCCAGATTCGGTCATTATAATGGAATTTTCTTGCTCTTCAATTCTGCCTTTGGGATTCTTTTTCACTTCTTCTTTTAAATAGTCTGAAAGTCAGACTCTTTGATAGAACTGTGTTTCCAACTTCCTTTTTCACAGAATATGTACCTGAACTTTGCTGAGATTGGTAGCAATATAAAGAATCTCATGGAAGACTTTCAGAAGAAGAAACCAAAAGAACAGCAAAAACTAGAATCAATAGCAGACATGAAGGTAAATTGAACATGTTCATGGATGACTAACATGCAAGACTTTGGAACTATTCATGTAAGCAACATTTCTGGAATATTCTCAGTCTGATTTCTGCCTTGATTTTGTTTGGTTTGAGATAATTTTCTGTACTGTTTCTCTTTAGGAAACAATATAGTGAAAACTTCATAACAAGCCATGTGCTTCTTTCCATTCTTCAGTCACATTTGGACTATTTAAAAAGTCAGTCTACTGACATGTACCAGTTCTTCTCTTTTTAAGGAGAAACAAAATGCCATGGGATTGAAAGTTGTAGATGCCTTAGTCTGGGCAGAACAATTCCTGCTTATTTTTTCCCTTCATGCATGTCTGTCCTCGGTCAAGAAATAAACCCCAATTGCTGTTTTTCCCATGGCAGGCTTTTGTTGAGAATTACCCACAGTTTAAGAAGATGTCTGGGACTGTATCAAAGCATGTGACAGTGGTTGGAGAGCTGTCTCGGTTGGTCAGTGAGCGGAATCTGCTGGAGGTTTCAGAAGTTGAGCAAGAACTGGCCTGTCAAAATGACCATTCTAGTGCTCTCCAGGTATCTATTCAGTCCAATTTGATGAGCACCTACTATGTGTAAGGCACTGTGCCAGGCAGAGCAAGAGATACAAAGGCAAGTAATTCTTCTTCACCAGCATGGAATTTATAATCTAACAAGGAGTTGAGACAAGAACACAGATTAATTTTATTTACGATAGATACAAGAACCACAGGAGAAGAATAATGTGCAATAGCAAAGGGTTCAGACAGTTAACAGTATTTAGGAGGGCATCCTAGTCTAGTAGGAAGAATACTAGACTAAAATCAGAAGATCTGCATTTTAGCCACTTGCCACCTACTGGCTTTGTGACTGGAGCTGTGGGCTTAATTTCTGAGCCCGTTTCCTCATCTGTAAAATAGGTGTAATTATATTTATCTCACAGTGTTGTAAGGAGGGTTTTAAAGATACAATATATATTAAAATGCGTTATCTTAAGTTTTTTATTATTGAACACCTGCTCTTCGTTCCATGTACATGTAAATGCCTGCTACATGTACATTAGGCTGTAAGGATCCAGAGGTGCAAAGAAGAAAGAGATACCATCCTTTTCCTCAAAGAGCTCACACTATGTAGTAGGGAAGAAAGAAATTTAAACCAGGAATTACCATGCTATAAGTGCTATTTACTAGAGGTATTTACAAAGGGATATGGAAATACAGAGGAAGGACAACTGTTTCCCCTAAGGATGAAGCTTCTTAAGAAGATGACATTAGATTTGGGTCTGGACAAATAAGGAGGAGGGCACCAAACAGTAGAAGTGCACCAACCAGAGAGAAGAGGGGAAATTCTTGGCAGAGAGAATGCAGGCATGGAGATGTGGAGGGAGAAAAATTAAGGGAACAGAGAATAATGCAGTGTAGCTAGTGCAGGGTACAAGATGAGGAATGGTCTTAGATAAGCCAGAAAGACAGCCAGGAACCTGATTATGGCCATTGAAAGGAGATTGGGCTTTAATCTTAAAATGTTGAGGGCTACCAGAGTATTTTAGAAGAAAAGGGACATAATCAGACTCTGGCCCCAAGAAATTCACAGCATTGTTGAAAGGACAACACTAAAGCACAAGGAGCACTTAGGCGGTGTTTCAAGGTACTATTTAATTAAGTTAAAATTGTGATTCTGACTATAATTAGATTTGAGGTTATTAGGGACAGTTCCTTAGAGAAGGTGATATTAAGATGGACCATCAACAATGAATAGAATCTGGGGGAGGATTTCAGTCAGGGAAAACAGCAAAAGCAAAGAGGCAGAAGTATGCAGAAAATAATAAACAGTGTGACCTGTTGGAGAGTGGGTGTGGAAGAGAAATGGGAGATAAAATTGAATTGGTAAACAGGAACCAGTTTATGAAGAAGCTTGTAAGAGGAATTTGCACTTGCTGAGATAAGCAGAGAGATCCATTGTAGGGCCGTATGTAGAAAGTTGATATGATGAAAGCAGTATTTAAGGAAATTTAATCTAGTAAGGATGCTTTGGAGGTGAAAAACCTGACGTTGGGCTAGTAGACTCACAGTGATAGTACTAAAAATGTACAGTAAGGGCAAATCTGAGAGACGGTTCAAAGGGAGAAAACAGTTGAGCAACAGATTGGATATAAGGATAACAAGACAGAACAAATTCGATAATTCCAAGGTTCCTGAGAAATGACAGTGTGGTATCACTGGCGATAAGTCACTTGGGAATGAGGGTCCTTTGGGAGGTAGCCATTTCTAAGGCACTCACCATAAGAAGTGCATTTCCTTATTAGTAGGACCCTATATTCTACAACTTAGTCTCTTTCTTTCCCTGCTGTAATTCGACTTGACTTTATAAAATAAAGCCAGCATGGTATAATGGAAACAACGCAGGCTTTGGAGCCAGACTGTCCTGACTTTTATTCTGTCTCTACCTACCAAAGTTTTTTTGAGAAAATATTACTTATTTTGCCCAAACCTCAGGGATAAAGATTTCAAACTTCTAGATTTTTACCAGGATTCAGTGAGATATGTAAAATGCTTCACATATGATAGGTGCTTTGTAAATGTTGGTCCCTTCCTCTAAACATAATGCTTTAAATATATGCTATAACTAAAACAAAGAAATCCACCCCCCTGTGGTTGCTCTAGTTATAGCGAGGTCTTTACTGGGATTTACAATTTGTTACTTTTTACTCTTTATTAAGATTTCCTCTGAAAACATCATCAGTTTGAAAATCATGAAGATTCTATTTGCTTTATATTTATGAAAAGTACTTCTGTCAACACTGAGTTTTATCCCTGTGTTCTTAAATTCTTTCAAAGAACTTTTAGGCTGATTTTATTATTTTTTTAATTGTATTGAATTCTAATTCTTAAATAGATGATATAAGTTCTTGGTGAAAGAGGTATGTAGTAAAAACTCAGTCTGTTACTAGTCTCACATGCATCCTGACAGTTATTCTGTATATGCGCAGGTCTGTGTGAGTGTGTGTATCTCCTCTCTTTTTTAAATTCAAATGATAACATACTGTACACATAGTTCTGCATTTTGCTTTTTCACTTAACCGTGTATCTCAGACTGTTCCAGATCAGAACCTAAACACTCATTCTTTTTAATCACTAAGTAGTATTCCTTTATAAAGATGTATTGCAATCTGTTTAATTTGACCAACTTACTTGAACCAGTACTTACTAATAACAGTTTGCAGTTTTGTGGGCCTAATAGAAGTATTCCTATGAAAACTTTTTATTTTTTCCAAGAAAATAAATTTTCTTTTCTTATTAAATAAAAACAAAATTTTGTCCTGTAATTAAATGTAAATTTCCTTGTTTCTTTATCTTTTATTTTTCCCTTTGAAACAATAGAACCAAACTTAACCACTAGCCAGTTTTAGTATCTTTATTTGTATCTCTCTACCATACAGAGAGCAGTTAGACAAGGTTACTATAATTTCCTTGCCTGAAACCTTATTTCTTGTTCATTTTAAAAGAAAAAAATAGATACTTTAAAATATGAATTCCATTTGTGATCCACTTTATATTTTAAAAAGTTATCCTCTGAAGGTTTTCTTGCCCATGTTATTAGGGTTTTACAGTGAGCAGTTGATTTGGACTCCCCCACCATAAAGGATTTCTTTGGCAACATGATTTAAATAGTCTATAAAGGGAGCTTTTGTTTGATAATGAGTACATGCCAGGGCCCTGACCCCTAGATGGTTATAGCATTCCTTGGCTTGACCTTAGATGATAATATGTCATGAAATAATGAATTGAGGTTTTTGAGTAGAGATGGCATTTGCTTTATTGAATAGTAACTATATCATGATGAAGGAAAAAAATACATATATTGCTAAAAATTAACTTATATAAATTTACTGCCACTTCTAACCAGTTATCCTACAGGCTAACAAAAATTTGATTTAGAAGAATTTTCACTAGAACCAAACTGCAATGTACTATCATTAAAACATATCTATAGCCTTGGAAAAGACTCATTTGATTAGTGAGGAAGATTTTTTCATGCCATGAAGAGAAATATCTTCAGAAAGTAAGCAGTTTTCCCCCTTGTGTATCATGTCATAGCTTTTCATTTAGAAGGAAGAACTAGTCTGTTTTCATATCCTTCTTTCCTGACCTTGGGTAAAAGGCCTCAAATCATCCTATTAAAGATATAAAGACTCAATAAATACTTCTTAGAAAAATTAAGAAGAGTTCTATTTGAAGCAGTATAGAGTAGTGGCTAAGAACTTGGGACTTTGATGGCTTGGGTTTGAAAATTATAACCACTCTTAGTCTTTTTGTCTGTAAAATGGGGAAAAATTACAGTACTTAAAGATTTTTGTGAGGGTGTAGTAAGCTAGTACATGTAAAGCACTTAATATGGTACCTGGTACTTAAAACATTCAATAAGTAATAACTGTCACATTATCCATATTATTATTTGATGATACATTCTGTTTTCTCTATGACATCTAGGATATTGTTTTCTAATCTGCTCATCACCTCAGATCTCTCTCTCCCTGATTTCAGAAGGGTTTTTTGCTTCTCATTAAAATCCTAAGAAAATTGTTTGGGACACATTGAGGTGACAATTTTACTTTCACCAAATAAGAATAAAAGTGATCATTTTCTCTCTAAACCAACATTTAGCCAGTGTGCAGACAGTGTTGACCAGCAGAAGACCTACAGCAAAGCTAAATTTTATGTTGACTAGTCATTAAGGAAAAGAATACTGACTCAGATGTATTTACTAGTCAGTGGAATTGGGTCCTGCCTACTTTCTATCATTTTTTCTAGATAAACTCTTTATAGTCCCACAACAGTGTTCTCTCAAACTGTTAGACTCATTTTTTTATCATATCAGCATGTGCCAATTTCATCTTATTATTCTAATCTGCTGGATTATTAATGCTAGTCATTGATGATTTTACTACATTAATATGTTAGTAGATAACAAGGTAGAGTTCCTGTTCTTTAAGTTAAATTAAAACAAAAAATAAAGACTATTTTTAGTTGCTGACTTCATCTGTAATTTATACAGTGGTATAACTAAGTCATTATAAAAATTTGTTCTTGTGGTGCTGCTTCATCATAATTTTGGTAGAAGAAAACAGAAAAGTTGCCCAAAACAATGGAAAGATCTTTAAATATCAGAAAAGAATTGTTTTTTAATTGATGTTTTTTGAGTGAACATTAGCCCCTTTTTGAAACTTGACCTTCAGAGACTGTGTTTTTGCTTTTCTTTTCCTATTCCTTGATTAGGCATATATGAATATTAGAATTCAGTGAATTCTGTGTTTGAATCCTATCTTCTTAAGAGGACAGTAGTTTTCTTTTGCTCTTTACTCGGCCATTGTTATGTGAAATATACTTTTCTCTCTTGAAAGTCTCAAGGCTTATGGAAAATTTCATAAGAAAAGAGAAACCAGAAGTTCATTATGTAATTCACTCATATTTCCAACATATAAATACCACCATGTAGCAGATACCTGCTGTGTAATGAGAAGTCTCTCGGATTGTTTTCTCTTCTCTGGTTAGTACACTGGAATCTCAATATAACATACACCACTGTTGGTCAAGTTGATGAGTCAAGTAGCCATGAGTGAAATGTTCAAAATTAAGTCAGAGGATAGGGCGCCTGGGTGGCTCAATCGTTAAGCGTCTGCCTTTGGCTCGGGTCATGATCCCAGGGTCCTGGGATCGAGCCCCACATTGGGCTCCCTGCTTGCTTCTCCCTCTCCCACTCCCCCTGTTTTTAGTCCCTCTCTGTCTGTGTCTCTCTCTGTCAAATAAATAAAATCTTTTAAAAAAATAATAATAAGTCAGAGGATAACATGGGATCCAGGCAGACAAAAATGCCCTTCCTCTTCAAAAACTTAAATAGCTGAAAGAGAAGAAAGAACTCAGCTTGTACCTACATGTTTCCTTTCATGAGGAAATAGATAAGCCTAGCTGGAACAATGACCTGAGTCATGGTTGGGTCCTAAGGGATCAAAAGTAAGCAAAGTAATCTACTCAAAGTAATCTTGGATCAGATCTGAGCCACTTCCTCAAGGGAGAGCTATGAGTCAAGCCAGGGACTCTAAATATCAGCACCAGATCTCAAGGAAGAGAAGTGGATTCTTTAATGGGAAAAAGCCAAGAGTCAAGATACAAGTGAAAGTAGTTAGAAAGGGAGCAAGTAAGAAGGGTACAAACTGATTGGGGCAGTCTTTGTCCCTATACCAGTTTTGTGGTTTTATACTTACTTGAGAATCTCAGATTTGCTGAAAATATAGAAATTGAGTAGATTTAAGGTAAAAAGAGAGTGATCCCAAGGGCAGGAATTGAAACATTGTGCCTATAAAAAAAAGTGGCAACAGAGATCCCAGATGGATGTTTTAAACTTAGGCTAAGTTGATGAGAGACATAGGAAATAGGGTATTCTTATTATGGTAGAAACTAGTGGCAAATTTGAACACATATTCTAAATAGTCTGTATTCTGTGATTACTGTGGAAAGGGTACTGCAAAAGAAAAAAAGTAAGGAAATTCTTATGACTGCAGGGTTTAAATCTAAAGAAGAGAAATATCTTCCCTTTTGATTCCTTAAAGATGATGCTAGTGAAATATTCACCCAGAAAAGCAACAATAGAAATCCTACCCAGAGAACTTCCTACTTGAGAGCCACCTGGGAGGTCCCCCATGTCATCATAGTCCTCTTTGGTGTGAACAGAAGAGTTCTTAAACATTAAACCTGGTTGTTGTGAAGTATTAAAAAGATAAGGTATGTGAAAGTATCTCATAAGTTGTAAAGTTCCATTTGGATGTATGTCCTCAGACTCTAGTGCCCTCCAAGGCTCTTGCCAGTCTTTCAACTCAACCCATTTCTTTCTCTGATTTCCATATTCCTGTTAAGAGCATCTCCTCCTTTAGTCTCCCAGACTAATTCTAACACTTACTGATGCTTTAGGGCCTTTTTCATGAAGTCTTTCTTGATTCCTCAGCAACCAGATGTACTTTTCTTCACTCTGTGTCCCCTTCCCCGCGTTGTGCTGATTCTCGGTTTCTGTTTCTTGTTTTGTTTTTTGCATACATATGTTTCTGTTATAATACCGCATGTGTTTTCCTGAAAAACCTCCAGTTCTGCAAAGTCATGTACTAAAAATAAACAAGTATTATGGGAAAATAGGATTATAAGCAGGTCACTTAAAATCCACGTAACTAAAAAAAAAAATCTATATAACTTTATAATCAAAGCCCTAATAAAAATAGTGACAGTCCTAATAAAAATATTAGCACAGTTAAATCTCCACAGACATTTGTACCTAGAAATATACTCAGTCCATCCTTTGTAGCCTTCCTTATTCTTGGGGCTCACATTTTATTCTTCAAGATGTAAGGTCAGAAAAACTTTTGCTTCTCATATAAATTAGTTTCACCAAAATTAAAAATACAATATGGGGATATCAGTCAGTTTTTGGCTGTCATTTTGTTTGCTTTTTAACTCAGAGAAATTTCTTCACATCCTTTTCATTTGCACTTGCCCTTTCCCCATATTGCTTAATACAGTGGACAATACAACAGCTCTTAAAGCTACAAAACCAGCTACTTCTTGCAGAAAACTCTTGTGTAGGATTTACATCCTCTTTTCTTAACATAGTGTTAAAGCTTCCTCTTAAAGAGGAAGCTTGGCCCTATTCCCTTCTTAATACTAACATGCTGGAAAAACTACATATAAGCCATTATACCTTCTGTGTTAAACTGACACCATTCCCATATTTAATGATCTCATAGAGTTAAAGTGCATTCAAAAAATGTGCTTTGTAGCAGAATAGGCTGTAATTGCTTCATTCCCCTTCACCTCCTTGTCTGTGAACTCACTGAGGACAGAAACTGTGTTTAACTCACCTCTATATCCCCTCCAGTGCCTGGCATAGTGCCTTATGCTTAGAGGGGGATCACAGTGTAGTTCTTGGCTTGAATTAACTTGTTCTGTTACATAATAAGCATAAATACGTACTATGGGGAAGTTCCTTAATATGAGGATTGACAAAACCTAAATGATTTTGTCCAGCTTCCTTTGCAGTCAATACCTGCCCTCTTAAGTGTTCGATTTAGAGATTACATGCTTTACATACTCATATCTCTGAAAGGCATGTAGAAACATATTGGTACATCTGATGCTTCTTGGACATTAAGCCCAGTCCTCCTACATAAAACTCTACCAACTTGTCTCCATTTCACTGGTCAGTCACTAACGCTAAGCAATAGTTTTACAAGTCAATGGGTCAGTTCTGTCGTGTGCTGTGTTGATTGAAATGGTGGAAATAGTATATGTTCCTTGTTTCAGCAAGGAAACTGCAACCTTTCCCACATGAGACCATAGACCATCTCATTAAAGGAAAGAAAGAAGGAACTATCCATAGTTAAATTCATTTTTGTCCTAGAGCAATTGCAATGGGAAATTCTTGTCTTAGGCAAAGGCGTTTAATTTTCTGTAGTTGAAACAATTGCTAAACCTATAACCTGTACATTGCCATCATAGTAATCTTAAGTCATGAACTCAGATGCATCACTGCCATTCATTAGACTCACTAGACATAAGATCTTATACATCACTCAGGTGAAGGGGAGATAAATACCAGCTTTTTGTTTTTTCAGAATGTAAAGAGGCTCCTGCAGAACCCCAAAGTGACAGAGTTTGATGCTGCCCGCCTGGTGATGCTTTATGCTCTACATTATGAGCGACACAGCAGCAATAGCCTACCAGGACTAATGATGGACCTCAGGAATAAAGGTGTTTCTGAGAAGTATCGAAAGGTAACCAAATTTATATATTAATCCCACCAAACAGCTAGCAACTCTATTATTATATTCTTAGTTCTGACAAATCATACTGCTTTTACTTACAAAAGTGTATAATTATGTCCTCTCATGTCTTCATTTCCTTAATAAAGGTATTTTCTTATGAAATGAGTTTCCTGATCCCCAAGCAATAAGAGGTGGTTCTCTTTTTTCCTAATAGCTTGTGTCTGCAGTAATTGAATATGGTGGTAAACGGGTCAGAGGAAGTGACCTTTTCAGCCCCAAAGATGCTGTGGCTATTACCAAACAGTTCCTCAAAGGATTGAAGGTATGGCATGTCCTCTCTACTTTACTAAATGAGAAACAGTGGAAGCCCCTGCGGCTGAGAGTGAATAAATAAGATCTTCAAAGTAACTTCAGGATTGCTGCTAATTTAGTACTATGTCAATTAAATGAAATTAAAGCAGACATCTCCCAAAAGCTTTTTCTTCAAATGCTTTCTATATGGGAGCAGCATCAGCATTGGACCGAGCAGCTGAACAGGGAATAATAGAAAATTTCCAGGAAATACCCCAGAGTAAAACAGACAGTTCTGTTAGTTATAGCTGTTTTACTCCATTTCTTTATCATTAAGATTTGTTTGGTTGTTTTTCTTCGAAGGAAATTAAAGGTGAAGCAAACAACTGTAGATCTTTTAAAATTACTGTTTTCTTAAAATGGTAAAAAAAATTAGTTTTAATCTGCAAGCCTTTCTTATGTTTCCTGAAATGTTTCCATTTACCTGAGTGTTTCTTGACTTCTTTTCTATGTGGTCTTTTCCTCTTATTTGCTCTACCTATCATATAACATTTTCACAAAAGGATAAGAATCACTGAAAAGATGATAAAGGATTTAAGCAATTCCATTTTTGAAATTCTTTTATAATAGCTAGGCTTAAGTTACAAAGTATTTTTATGAGATTAGAACATTTCTAATTAAAAGAAATTTTTAAATTACTTAACTGGAAAATTCCCATTTGAATCTATCCCATGAAATCCCTATTGAGTGCATGTCCTTTTCTGATGAGTATCATTAACTGTTATATTGCAAGTTCCCCCAAAATGATATAAGAATCATCTTCCCCTCTCTTAGGGAGTAGAAAATGTGTATACTCAACATCAACCTTTCCTACATGAGACCCTGGACCATCTCATCAAAGGAAAGCTTAAGGAAAACGTGTACCCTTATCTAGGCCCCAGCACACTCAGAGACAGGTAAGGTAACTAAGATATTAATAATAAAAACCAGAAACACTAAGAAAATAGGAAATGTGGAGCGTTGTAAGAGACAACAACTAAGATGATATTGTTCTACTCCTCCTCCTGTTTTTTCAGTTCTGAGATTCTTTTGGTTTTACATGTGTCAGGGTTAGATATAAATTCACCTACTAAGCCTGCAAGATTATTTCTTTTGGAATAAAGAAACAGGTGTTTTGAAGTATCCCGTATACTTGTATTTTGTCCTTTGGTATCAGATGAGTTTACTTATGCCATTTAAGGTTCAGTTCCATGGCATTTAACATTTGGAGTTTCAAGCATTAATGCCAAAAATAGATTTGCTGCTTGGTTGCCATCCAGAGCAGGTTGTTACTATTTTTGGTGAGGACTGGACTTTGCCAAATGTGGCCAGCATAGAAACTGAGACCTAATTAACAGAGGCCATTTGTTACACTGAAGCAAAGGATGGCTTGCTTTTGGGGTGTTAACCGAAGGAAGCAATTAATCGTCATTTTAATCCAGTGGTCTGTTAGTTTTAATAAAAACAAAACTCATCCAGATCAGCTTACTTAGATCAACCTGAAATTTTAAATATACACAAAATATACTTTGTTATAAATTATATTCTTGTGTATTTTTTACTGGGACCACATATTATAAAGAACCTAATATATGTAATGGGATAGATTGATGTGCAAATTGTTACTATTGGTAGACTTCTTCAATTATTTCAGCTAATCATAACCTAAGAGTCTTGGAAGAATAGTGTTTTATAAATATAATAAACTTCTGAAAGGAAAAAGATGACTCTTTTATATGATAAAATATATTTTTTTTCCATTTTGTTCCTTTAAAAAAAAAATCTCTGTAATTTGGTAACAGAACAGAAAAGAAAGATCTTTTAAAAAATCCAAGGTTGAGAGGCAGAATATCTGGGGTTAAATTCAGACAGTACATTCATTCAGATAAAATGTTTAAGGACCTTTTCAGAAATGTCAGCTAAGTGGAAAGAATGCAAACCAGCCTAAAGCTATTTACCTATCTTAGAGGCTTTTTGAAAAACAGTATAACTCTATTATATGGCCTTCTAATTAGTATGATAAAAGTAAAAATATTACTTTTTTATGAATTTCATATAAGAATTATCAATCAATTAGCTATTTATTGCTAAAGAGACACCATAGACCACCAGAAAAGTATATTGTGTATGATTAGTTCATAACAGCAAACCTTTCTAATTTGGGTGATTCATTTCTGAACAAAGCTCAGAATGATGCTTTTCCAACAAAATGCACATTTATCAGTTGTCAGCATCTGTTAGCATTTGTCACTATTACCTAAATACAAATATAGCTAATAATTCTATTGCTGCATCCTTTTATATAACAAATATTTATTGAGTGTCTTCAATATGTCAAAAACTGTTGTAAATGCTGGGGAAATAGAACAGGAAAGACAAGTTACCTGCCCTTAAGGAACTTACATGAAGGAGACAGTAAGCTAATAAATAAAGACTATAATTTGAATGAGATAAGTGCTGTTGAGGAAATAAATAGTGTAATAAGCTACAAAGTAACTTTGGAGAGGTGAGGGGGGCTGCTTTAAATGGAGAGAACCTCTCTGAGGAAATGCTATTTAAAATGAGCTTTGAACGGGCACCTGGGTGGCTTAGTTGGTTAAGCGTCTGCCTGCGGCTCGGGTCATGATCCCAGGATCCTGGGATCGAGCCCCGCATGGGGCCCCACATCCGGCTCCTTGCTCGTCGGGGAGCCTGCCTTCTTCCTCTCCCTCTACCTGCTACTCCGCCTGCTTGTGCTCTTTCTCTCTCTGTCAAATAAATAAATAATCTTTAAAAAAAAAAAAAGATTACAAGACAGAGCCAATCACATAACAATTAAGAGAAAAAGCATCCCAAGCAGAGGGAACACTGGAGCAAAGGCCTTGAAGAGAGAACTTCGTAAGTTCATGGAACGGAAAGAAACCAGTGTGGTTGGGGCATAGTGAGTAAGGAGGAAATAAGTTGAAAAAATAAGTAGGAGCTGTATTACATAGGGTCTTAAGAAGGGTTTTAAATTTTAAATGTCAAAGGAAACCATTGAAGAGCTTAGCATGTAAGTGACATGAACTGAATTACTTATTAAAGGATCATCTTCTAGGGAGAATTGATTTTTTTTTTTTTGAGAATGGATATTTGAAGGCAAAAACAGAAGCAGGGAGACTACTTAGGAGGCAGTTGTAATAGTCTGGGTAAAGGATGAAAGAGGTTTGGATAAGGAGGCTGGGAGAGAAAGAATCAATAGACTTATTTAATGGAGTCATCTACTCCACTAAAGAGGTTATCTACTCTTACCCTCTTACCACAGAATAAGAGAGAAGTGAAGAATAACTCTCAGGTTGGGGTGGGGGGCAATCAAGTTGTTAAGTTGCAGATGCCTATAACCAAGTAGAAATGTTGGATAATAAATTGGGAGTCAACAAGATTTTGGTGATATTTAAAGCTATGGTATATAAGATATATAAGATCACTTAGGGAGAGAGCATAGAAAGAAAAGAGAGCCTAGGACTGAGGATTGAGTGGAAGACATGGAGCCAGATATGGAGACTGAGGAGGAGGAGACTTAAAAATAGAAAACCAGGAGAGCATAGTGTCGTACAGACCAAGAAGCAAGTGGTAACCTGAGTGTAGTCTTCTGAGAGGTAAAGGTGAAAACAGTGAAGATTCCATCAGATATGGCAACACGAAGGTCTTTGGTGACCTATTCCCAGTTTCCAGGAGATTAGAAACCAAATTAGGGTTACGGGATATAAAATAAAATAGAGATAACAAATGTATATAACACTTTTTTTTTTAAGATTTCATTTATTTATTTATTTGACAGAGACAGAGATAGCAAGAGCAGAAACACAAGCAGCAGGAGTGGGAGAGGGAGAGCAAGCTTCCCTCAGAGGTGGGAGCCCGATGTGGGACTCAACCCCAGGACCCTGGGATCATGACCTGAGCTGAAGGCAGATGCTTAACGACTGAGCCACCCAGGAGCCCATATATAACACTTTTAAAGAAATTTTGTATGAAGGTGTCAGAAATGGGATGGTAGCTAGGAGAGAGTGTATACTCAAGGGAAAGAGATTCTAGAGCATATCTGATGTATGTATGTATGTATGTATCTGTAATCTAATGAGAATTACCCTAAAGAAAGAAAAGTCAAAAATGCTGAAGAGAAAGAGGAAGAACTGCACAAGTCTTCAGGGGGTCCAGAGCATAAGCAGAGGAGCCTTTGATAGAAACAGAGCTACTTTTTTCTTTTTAACAATTTTGATGGTGAGAATATGGGACCATCGAAGCTGATTGCTTCTGTTTTCTCAGTAAAATACGATGTCAAGTTATCAACTGAGGTAGTGGGTAAAAAGAGAAAACATTGTGAAACTGTCATCTTGCAGGCCAGGAATCAGATTTACTAGGGAAATGTAAGTAGGACTTCTAGCAAAATTGAGTGCCCATTAGAGTTTTATGATCATTAATTTAAAAACCTTGGTGGCTCAGTCGGTTAAGCGACAGACTCTTGATTTCAGTTCAGGTCATGATCTCAGGGTCTTGAGATCAAGCCCCACGTGGGCTCCACACTCAGTGCGGAGTCTGCTTGTCCCTCTCCCTCTGCCCCTCCCCTCTCTTTTTCTCTCCCCCCTCCCAAATAAATAAATAAAACCTTTAAAATAGAGCCCGTGAGCCTAGTTGTGTGGTTTTCTCCAGCAACTTTTGGCTGTACTAGATTAAATGAGGATAAGGCTGGCAGCTAGGCCCAACCTGGATTTGGGGAATTGAAAACAGAAGGAGGGTATTGGATGGTAAATAAAGTATTGTTGAGTGAATTAGTGGTCTTGATGAGGTCCAAGAATTATTATAGTAGAAGTATTAGTGTAAGTTAATTAGAAGTTGAGGAGGTTGTTGTTGGAGAAAGAGATCTTGAATGCAAGATTTCACAATGCAGATACTTAAAGTGAAAGAGTTTAGGTTATAATCATGGATGTTGGTTATGAGGGATGGAAGAGCACATCATCCTGGGTGAGAGGACCAGGATGTGAGATGAGTAATCCACATGCATGTGAAAGTAACTGAAAATCCTGAAAGGAACAGCAGTGAAAAGGAGGACAGTAAACCAGAGCTAAAGTCTTCAGGGAATAAGAGAGTGACCAGGAAAGGAGGTCAGGAGAAAACAGTATAACCACATCATGGGCTTCTAACATAACGGAGACATTGAAGAAGGCAGAGAAGTTGGTTCCGAAACAACAGGACAGGGCACAGAAGATACCTACGCCACCTTCTGGCCCTGCTTAACAGCAGGTAGACTGCAGAGGCCTTGAAAAGACCTACCGAACATTCTGCTTCTAAAAGTTTGCTGTCTAGATATATTGTGCAAGTACAAAAAGACATATAAACAAGGATAGTTACCGAAACATTATTTGTAACAGTTAAAAAACAAAAAACAAAACAAAAACAGGCTAAATATCCATCCATAAAGGACTGGTTACCTAAATTACAGTACAGTGCTATGCATTCTTAAAAAATAGCATAACTCTTCGTGGGGTGATGTAAAAACTTTCTAAGATATATTGGATAGAAAAGCAAAATGCTATAATATCCTTGTGCTCGCTTCGGCAGCACATATACTAAAATATAATATCCTTTTTGTGTAAAAAATAAAAACCCATATCTAAGCATAAATATTATTATATACACATGTGTATATTAACAAGTCTGCTCAACTATACATAGTATGTGTATAATATATATGCAAGCACACATATCTTTATGTATACTATATATACTTCAGAAAGAATTAACAAGAAAGTTGTTAAGTGTGGTTACCTCTGGATATTGAGACAGTAGTTAGTTGTATGCCTATCTGTCTTTCCCACTAGCTATTGATATTGTATTAAGTATCATTTTCTTGAAGTAAGAACTATATTAGTATTTGGGTTTTTTACAATATTTAACACAGTGCTTTACCAATAGGTGTTCGGTAGGTGTCAGATTTCTCTTTTTTTTCCTTAAAGATTTTTAATTTATTTTTTAACAGAGAGAGAGCGAGAAGGGGAACACAAGCAGGGAGAGTGGGAGAAGGAGAAACAGGCTTCCCGCCGAGCAGGGAGCCCGATGTGGGACTCGATCCCACGACTCTGGGATCATGACCTGACCCAAAGGCAGACGCTTAATGCCTGAGCCACCCAGGCTTCCAGGTGTCAAATTTCTCATGTAGGCATCTATAACAGTTGATATGACAAGATTTACAGTTGGAAAATTTAAACTAGAGAATAAATTTGGTTGATGTTACCAGAAAATTTAGATTTTTACAGTTTACCAGTAACACTCTGTAATATTTCGGCTCTACATCCACTTGGCCTCACTCTCAGTTCTAGCCACTGTCTTGGATCATCACATTGAGAAGAGTCATTGATTTTAGTCATCTTTGTGATAATTTAAGTCTCATCGTGATAGAATTCCTTGGTTTTGTTGTTATTAGGGAGTATCAAAGGAGACGTGGCCAGAATACAACTTTGAAATCAGGAACACCTATAGAATTGTTTTAGCCCTTAGCTATTATATGTGGTTAACCTGTTTGGCAATACAGCCATATCTACAAATTCAGTTTTGATCTTTCTTCTGCAGATGGGACTCCCGCATATCCTATGCTAAAAGCGGGCTCATTTTTCTTTCTCACTCCAGAATTGCTCCTTGTCTCTCATAAAAACAAGCAACTTAAACATTTGGTGAGAGAATGGAGCTGTCTGGTCATGCATTCCATAGTCAATTCAAAAAGGAAGTACTTTTTCACGTTTACATAAATTTGGTGGAATCTTGTTGCAGCAGTTCATTTTGTTTCTATAAAGGCAGCAGTCCTTTTCCATTGGCCTTTTTTCCTACAGTAAATGCTCATAAGATCCTTATTATCTCTAAGAACTCAAAAATTTGAATTTTAGCCATAAGTGTAATGGTCCACAAAGTAGATAAAATATTGCCTCTTAAAAGCTTAAGTTTTTCTACTTAGTTTATTCATGTATAGAAGTAATGATTTCCAGAAATTCTATATGTGAAAAATGTTTATTTTTATAATAAAATAAGATGTAAATTGGTTGAGTTCTCAGGGTGTCCTGTATATCTATATGCAGCATGAACTGGCTGCTCTTCTCTGTCTAATGTTTGCTGCCTGAATTAATTAATGCTTTCGGTTGCTGGAGTGAATTTCAGAGCACAGGAAGATGTGTACAAAGAATTGAACTTGTGTATTCCACTTAGCTTCAATCATCATATAAAAATGATTTGTTGTATATTTAGCCATTGGCCTCATCAGAACATCTACTTTTAAAATTCACCAGGGAAAGGAAAGAAAAGGAAAAAATGTCAGGGTTGTATTTTTTTCCCCATCGATGTTCCTCCTTAAGCCAGCTTGAGTAAGTAGTAGGAGGTTCAGGAAAACATTTATTAATGTTTTCATAACCAAATGCAACATAGTCATCTTTGTTAGGTACACAATTAAGTCAAGCTGTAAGAGTCTATCCCAGTATCTAAGTTTTGTCCTTATATTAATATAACCTACACCCACAGTTACCATCTGCGACATTTTCTTCCCTCTCCAGTAATACGAAAATACTCTGGCACCCTGAAATTATCAGACTAAAGGATAGAGTTCTTGCGCTCTTCTAGGAGTCTGCTTGAGTTTATTCCTTCCCAGTTCTTGCCTTCTCCACAAGAGACAGATGTACTCTTGAGGCAGATGATGGGCAGAGGGCAGCTATAGAGAAGCCCCATCTCTTTTCCTGGATGATCCTTATTCGTCTGTTCAGCTGCTTTTTAAATTGACTTACCAGATCAGGAGCTCAAAAATGTTACTGTCTGGTTCCTCTCATCAGTCACTGTACCCCTGCAAGGGAGAAACTTCCTTCCCTTCTTCTTAATGAAGTAATCTGTGCAATTAATGAGTATTTACTCAAGATAAACTGCATAATGGGTGTCAGCCTAGGGTTGCCCCTCAACATAAAGAGTATTGCATATGGAATCTCCCTGTAAAAAAAAAATACTCATTTTCTGAGAATAGAATTTCATTTCAGCTTTGAAGATTTTATTACTTCTGAACACTGCAACTGCTTTTTTTTTTTCCTGTTTCTACCTAGGCTGACACCCAGATAGTTACAACATAGACCAAACAATTGGCAGAATGTCTTCTGTCTCCTCGATGGCACATTCTTGCAACATTGGATTTTTCTTCTCCACGGAACTCATTCTTCACATCCTTTAATGAATATTAAACCAGTTATGACTGTATTTGAAAAGCCATTATTATCTCAGCTCATTGGTACTTCTAGAACCAATATAGTGGGAAGAATTAAAAATTTACATTCTTTGAAATTTGGTTGAAAAGAAATTGTATCTATCCATGAGGGTAATACTATGATAAAGGTTACAGAGACTCATGTCGCTATTTAAAATTATAGCCAACTGTAGCTTAGTTGATCCCCTTATGAAATCCATCCTTAAAGAGTCTGACAAGAACTGAACTTGAGTCTTAGCTGTTCCTATTCCCTTTCCCCTTCTGTAGAAAGATTAGTCAGAACCGAAACAATACCTATCAGTTGGAGAAAAAGAAGAGAACCTGTATTTTACCTGAATAGTCAGTCCTTGAGTAATTAAGAGTTCATCATACTTGGTAGAAAAATATTACTATCATAATCATGCAACGTTTCCTAAGCAAATGACCTTTCACAGCAAGAGAAAGCTAGCCAGTAACTGGAGGCAAGGACTTGAAGGAAAGAAACCTTGATGGTGTAGAGTATTTTAGTGATTCAGGTAATACTTTCCTGTAAGTTACAAAGAACCTCTTTCCCTGCAGCCTAAAGCACTAGATTAATATTGGATTAATAACTTAGCCTTCAGGCTGGTATCTACTTCTCTGTGATACTAGAGGAAATCACACAAATTATAGGTTAGTGCCACTACAAATTCATTGTTTCTAAACTCAGTTGGGCCTTCCCAGATACTCAAACTTTTATGCATCCTTAGTTCTTTCTCTTTGTCTCTTTCTCCACATCAGTTTTGAATGTTTTCCATTCTCTCCAAATCACCCAACCCACCCCAGCCCACAGCAGTGTTTCCTAGAGAAAAAAAAAAATTGAATCTGTCAGACATTAACTCCCTCAGTGTCTCGCCCCCATATTTATAAACTTATTTACATATACCTACCTTTTTGTCTTTCCTCCATTCTAAAGGAAATACATCCTCTTTCCTATTTAGAGCTAATCATTCTGTCCACGCTCTAGTTTTAGACTCCTACCATCTCTTCTGAAGCCTTCCTGTATTGATTATTTGCTTGCTCCCTCTCTCTCCCTGCCTCCTATATTTTCAGCTTCTCCTCATCTAACTACTTTCCCACAGACTACAAGCATACTTGGGTTTCTCCTATTAAACAAGCAATAAGTATAAAGCCCTTGAAACTGGGCTCTCCTCTGACCTGTCTCCTTTCTTTCACAGTCAGGCTTCCTGGATGAAGTCACTGTCTTCTTCAATCCATGCACCCTGGCTTCTTACTCCACTATAATACACTAAGACTTTTCTTACAAATTCATATACAACAGCATACGCAGTGGTCTCTTTCAGTCCTCACCTTATTTACCCGACTGTTCGTTTCACACTATTAACCAACCATTCTGTTCTTCTTGAAAGTCACTTGGCCCTTGGCCTCTCCCTTCTGGTTCTCCTACCTTTCTGACAGTTTCCTTCTCGGTTGCCTTTGCTGGCTCTTCATCCTGCTTGTCCTGTAGCTGTTAAAAACTCTCCAGAGCTCTGTCTTTCGATTCTCTTCTCACTCTACACGCTCTCCCTTGGTCGAACTCATCCATTTCCATGGCTTCAGCTGCCACCTGTACTCGGGGAAATCATTAGGCCTAAATGTCCAGATAATATATTTAGTGGACATCTCTGCTGGGATGTTCCACAGGTATCTCCAACACATGTTTTTGTCTTTCAGGAAATCAGTCTTGCTTTTTTTCTCAAACCGAAACCACTATACCTAGTCACCAAAACCAGAAAACTTAAAGTTATCGTGGACTATTCCTTTATCCTCATCCTCCATATTTAACCATTGACCGAATACTGAAGAGCCTTTTTTTTTTTGTCTCTTATAGCCAGTCCCTCCTCTCCACTCCTGGTATTTCTTTAGTCCCATTTTCCATCATATCTTTCTAGAAGTCTTGCAGTGGCCTTTTGTTCTCCATCTTTTCCCACCTGCATCCCCCAATTCATTCTCACACAGCTGCCAAAATTGTCCTTCAAAAAAGCAAATTTGATCATGGTAACCTGTTAAATCCCTTCAGTGATTCAGTGATCCCCCATGAAATATAAGAGTCAAGGCCTTCCATGGTCTGGCCACTGCTTATTTCTCCCTCTCTTTCTCTCACTATGTCTCTTAACTTACCTGCTTCATTCCACTGGAGTTAGAATGACTCCAAAGTTTTTATCCTAAGCAACTGAAAAGATAGACTGGCCACCAACTAAGATGAGGAAAGCTATAGGTGAAACAAGCTTAGGGGAGATTAGGAATTTGAACATTTGAATTGAGAAATTTATTAAACATCTAGTAGAAGTGTGGCATTTAGGAGACAGGTCTCTCTGGGCTAGAGATAGAGATGTGGGTGTCATTGGCAGAGAGATGTATTTAAAACCATACAACTTGGGTGTGGTCATCTAGGGATGATCAATAAGTTTAATAGAACTTTCTACGATGATGGAAATGTGCTCTATTGGTGCCATCTTATAAGGCAGTCATTAGCCACATGTGACTATTGAGCACTTGAAATGTGGCTAATTCTACTGAGGAACTGAATATATTATTTTATTTTAATTAGTTTGAATTTAAATAGCCATATGTGGCTGATGGTAACTACATCAGGCAAAGTAGATCTAGGGAGTAAGTATAGATGAAGAAGAAAGGAAGACCAATGACTCCACCATTAAGATGTCAGGGAGATAAGGTGAAGCCATTAAGGAACACTGAAAAAGAGCAACTAATGAAGTAAGAAAACCAAGAATGTGATGTCTTGGAAACCAAGTGAAGAAAGTATATCAAAGAGGAACAAGTGATCAACTTAATTAACTTAAAATGACCGAAAGCCTTGATAATACATGGTGCTGAAAGAATGGGGAGAAATAGGCACTTTCCTGAGTTACTGGTGGAATGACATCTGTGGAGCAACTTGGTGATATCTACCAAAATTTAAAATGCACACTAGATCCAAGATAAGGACCAGGAGCAGAACAGTGCACATAAAATGCTTTTACTTGTGTATATGTATGTGTGTGTGTGTGCTAAACGTATATATCCTATATGTGTAGTGTGTATATATGTGTGTGAATATGTATTTATGCATATAATTACTTACATATACACATAGACAATATCTCCGAAAGGACACATAAGAGGCAAGTAGTAGTGTTTGCCTCTACATTGAAACTGAAGTGCAAGAGCACTGTGGTGGGAGGGAAACTCACTTTTTTTATAGTATACCCTTTTGTATTTATATTATATGCAAACATTGATCTAGTCAAAAATAGTATATTTCAAAATAATAGGGGCACCTGGGTGGCCCAGTCAGTTACGCATCTGCCTTCAGCTCAGGTCATGATCCCAGGATCCTGGGATTGAGCCCCACATTGGGCTCCCTGCTCAGTGGGGAGCCTGCTTCTCCCTCTGCCTCTGCCACTCCCCCTGCTTGTGTTCTCTCTCGCTCACACTCTCTCTCAAATAAATAAATAAAATCTTTTTACGAAAATAAAAAAAATAGCAAAAATGATTATAGAATATATAACAGTAGGTAACTCTTAAGCATTGTCGTGCTAAATACATTGTTTCAGGTGAGTAGTCTTAAATGCTTATTTTGTCTTAAAAAGTACGTTTGTGGGGTGCCTGGATGGCTTGGTCAGTTGGGCGTCGACTCTTGATTTCGGCTCAGGTCATGATCTCAGGGTTGTGGGATCCAGCTCCATGTTGGGCTCCATGCTGAGCATGGAGCCTGCTTGGGATTCTCTCTCTCCCTCCTCCCCCTGCCCCTGCTCATGGTCTCTCTCTCTCTCTGTCTCTCAGAGAAAGTAATTTTAGTGTTTAAAGCATGATTTTAAGTCCCAGGCATTTCACATAGAAATGCCATGATTAATTGCAAAATAACCACCTTTTCATCATTGGGAGCCTATTATTGGGTATCTCTGAAATTCAGAGATTATCTGAACATTTTTAATTTTAGCCGTAATATCTGATTCTGTTTCCATGAAGTGCCATAAGAATAAATACTCTCTCAGTTAATTCCTTCAAGGTTTTAGGAAGAGGCAAACAGAAGGGAAATATACGGGGGGGGGGTTTCCATGATTTATACATAGCCTGTATTATTAAAGAGGTTTCTGTTTAGTTTTGTGCTATAACCTCCAAAATGGATGCTTCTACTTGATGTAGTTTTAAATAATGTCCAATAAGTCATTAACAAAATTACTTGCTTGCTAAGATCAAGTAATTTTATCTTCTTTTGGTGGCATGAGAAAAGAAAAACAAGGCAAACTAACTGTTTTGAAATGATATGGTCTCCTTCTTATTGATATCTACAGAAGGGGCCAATAGGAGGCTCTTCTGTTATGAAGCTGTTTTGATAAAGATTGGAACACAATAAAACTACACAGTGCTACCCAAATGAGGCAAGTGACTGAGCTGATATGTCAGTATGTCCAGTATCAAAACTATACTCAAGAGTTGTTTGTTTTCACAGGGTTTTTTTTTTTTTTCTTGGTTTATCAAAGGATTTGAGAACAAAGATTTTAAGAAGAGGTGGAGTTCGCAGAAGTGCCATTAATGTATGGGTCCCATTCTCTTTTTACACTGAAAAGATTAAATGTTTCTAGTTTCCATCTTCTGGGAACATCCTAATATCCTGGTACTTTCCAAAATACTTTGAAGTCCTTGGACAGAGGCCATTGTAATGACACTGTACTAAGTATTGGACAGAGGGTTTATATACAAAAGGAATTGTGTAGTACAAGTATAAATTACTGCTATCTTGATATCACGGCACAGTGAAGTACTCTGCAGCCTCTTGAATATAAAAGAATATTTCTACATTTGGTTCCAGCAAACACTATTGTGCTATTCTGAAATCCACAGCACAGAAATTATAAGACATCCGCTCATAAACAGAAAGCAAATCACTATTCAGCATTTCCTGCTCTGTTTCCTGCCAATTTCAGATAATTAAAACTTTTTTAAGCCTTTTATTCTATTCTGCTTTAATTCTGCTTCCTCCACCAAAAATGAAAGATTTAGAAATTAAAACTGTGCATATAATAGTAACACCAAATCTTTGCCTTTTTCCCCTCTTATCCTATGATGTTAACTTTCTTCATTATTGCAGACCTCAGGATATCATTGTGTTTATAATTGGAGGAGCCACCTATGAAGAGGCTCTAACAGTTTATAACCTGAACCGTACCACTCCTGGAGTGAGGATTGTCCTGGGAGGAACCACAGTGCATAACACGAAAAGGTAAGGGAGAACATTCAGTCCTACGACTCTATTCCCTTTCCTAGAGAGTAAAGCTTAAATTTATAAAGCTGAATAAACTGCTGGTAGACCAAAATGCATCAGTTCACAGTGTAATAGAGATGAAGGATCTAACTCCATTAGCTTCATAAATCAGCCAGTTAGGTCAAAGACCTGAAGAGTAAGGACCAGCCTGTACCATTAACAATTTATATTTCCTGTGTTCAAAGGAGAAATCTTATAGCCACAGACTGGCACTTTGAGTATACTGAAACATAATGGTATTGAAATCTGTGAGTTTTTCTCTTTTTGTTGATTAATTATATTCATTCAATAAGTATTTAGTAAGAAGAATACAAAGATGAATAAGAGTCAGATCCTACCTCAAGGAAATCATTGTCTATTAGGAAAAATAGACATAAAAAATAAAAAAATAAGTGCCTAAAGAGACAGACTAAAGAGCCATGGATTATCAGAGTGACTAAGAAAAATTAGCAAATGTTTCATGGAGAAGATAGTGCATAAGCTGAACCTTGGGTAGAAAGTGGACATGAGGGAGAGAACATACTAGGCAGAGTTAACCACATGAACAAGTTACGGAAGCTGTAGACAACAAGCATAGAAAAAGAACAGCAAATAGTCAACCAGCTGGAATGTGCATAAGTGAGAAGGTTGACTGAAGGCCATTAATTGTGAAAGGCCTTGAATTCCAGGCTGAGGAATCTTCACTTTCTTGTGTAGAAAATGAAGAATCATTGAAAGTTGTTTAAGCAGTAAGATTACAAGAGGGTCACAGTATTTTAGGAAGATTAATTTGGAAACTTAGGGTAGGAAAGACAGGAGGAGACTGGAGAAGCGTGGCATGATAGTTGAATTTAGATCAGAGACCCTGAGAGATCCATGCCGAGCCATGTACATACATATGGATATATTGGGAGTCATTAGAGGTGTTTGTGTACTTTTTCCTTTTGTATTATTCTTTTTTAAGATTTTATTTATTCATTTGAGACACAGAGATAGAGAGAGAGAGAGAGAGAGCATGAGAAGGGAGAGAGGCAGAGGGAGAGGGAGAAGCAGGCTTCCCGCTGAGCAGGAAGCCCGACGCAGGGCTCGATCCCAGGGCCCTGGGATCATGACTTGAACTGAAGGCAGACGCTTAACCATCTGAGCCACCCAGGCGACCCTCCATTTGTATTATTATTTGGCTTTTTAACATAACTTTTCCCCTTTATTATGGAAGTAGTACACATTCATTCTGAAATTCTTTTAATTCAGAAAATATAAAGAGAAAGAAAAAAGCTCCCATAATCTCACCACTGTTACACTTTGATCTTTTCAGACCTTTTATTTCTAAGCCTGTATAAACATTTATATGAGTGTATCAGCAGAAAAGGGATCTCTTCTACATTCTGTTTTATGACCTGAATTTTGTAGTCTATGATGTAAATATAAACATCTTTTAGTGTTAAATATATAATCATAACACAGACATTAATTGAACATTAATTCATTAAACAAATATTAATTGAAAAGTAAGATTACCTGGGGTTGAATCCTGACTTTCCCTCTTACTGTTTATGAATTTAGGCAAATTACTGAAACTCTTTATCAGTTTCCTTTTTTTTTTTTTTTTAAAGATTTCGTTTATTTATTTGACACACAGAGAGAGAGACAGCTAGAGAGGGAACACAAGCAGTGGGAGTGGGAGAGGGAGAAGCAGGCTCTTGGCTGAGCAGGGAGCTCGATGCAGGGCTCAATCCCAGGACCCCAGGATCATAACCTGAGCCGAAGGCAGAAGTTTAATGGCTGAGCCACCCAGGCACCCCTCTGTCAGTTTCCAAAGCTTACTGACTATTTATGTATTTCTTTTTGAATTGCCAGTTCATATTCTTTCCCATTTTGCAATTGGGGTATTCCTTTTTTTTCCAGTAATTTTTATTAATTATATCTATATAATTAAGGATATTAACCACTTGTTACATATTTTTGCAAATAGTTTTCCTTGTTTGATGTTTTTGTTTTACATTATTCACAGTATTTTGTTGTATAAAGGTTTTATTTTATTATATTTTATTTTTTACTTTTGTGTAGTCAAAACTACCAGTGATTTCTGCCTTTGGTGTCATGCTTATTAGTTCTTTCCCAGCCAAAATTATATAAATACTAACCTCTATTTTTTCCATCATTTTTAGGACTTGTATTTAAAGTTATAGCTTTATATTCTATCAAAATTTTATTTTATAGTAAACTGTGCAGTAGTTTCCTTTTATAATTCATAGAAATATTACATATACTTACATACTTCATTACATACAGAGAAGCATACAAATAGTAAACAGACCACTCAATGAAATATGACAAAGTGAATATAACGATGCAACCACCACCCAAACCAAGCAGTAGAATGGTACCACACCTCTGGAAGTCTCCCTTATGCCTCATGTCCCCTCCTTGTCACAACTCCCGCAAAGTAATCACCATTATGACTTCTATCACCATAGATTAGCTTTACTTGCCCTTAAAGGATGCTTGTTGGATGAATGAAGAAACAGGTTAAAAGTAATCTATTTCTGCCTTTCTCAAATAATACAAGGATCTTGGAAGGATCCTGTGAAGGATCTCTAATCAGCTTCCTCCCAACTGACTGTCCCAAGCTGTCATTGTCCAGCATTTTGGTTCCATCTTGTTTTTATAATCCCCACATTAATCATCATTATTATTTTCAGTTATCATTATTTGTTTAGATTTACCCATGTATTTGCACTTTTCCCTTCCTCCCACTTTTTCACCCTGGTCCTTCTTTCTGATCCAATCTTCTTCTTACTAAAAATATCCTTTAGTAGTTCTTTCAGCTCCTGGTCAACTTGATTTTTTTCCTAAAAATATCTTAATTAAGTTTAGAAATCCAGGTTGATAATTTATTCTCAGCACTTAAAAGTTAGAAGGCAATAGAATATTATGTTTAATTGCTATTAAGAAGTCTACTCTCAATATAATTGTTTTTGGGGTTATAGGTAATATAGTCTTCTCTGATTCTTTTTAAGATTATCTTTTGTCTTTGGTGTTCTTCTTTCAGT